TGGGCGAATCTTGTCCAGAATCAAAGGACTGGGCGTGCAAACTAGTGTTGACTCGAGAGCCAAGACAGCTAGACGTAGAGTTCCGCGTTTCGCCAACCCCTTTGCTCTGCTGATAACGCCTGTGTCATTGGGTTGGTGACGTGTCGAAGGAGGGTCGTTGACTGCTTCAGTGGCTTCTTTGTACAGCCACTCCCATTTGCCATGCTGGAACTAGCGCAATTGTTCTTTGATTTTGTGCCACTCCCATTTTTTGCGAAATCCGGGTTGTGCGAGAGGTGCAAAAGTGGTATCAGCAGGCACAACGAAAGTAGCTGACATAGATTGGCGGTAATTTGGCGACTGTCGCAGAGTGGGGTTATATCCCATTTTGCGATTGCTGCGAACCGGTCAGCGAGTGGAGTTGGTATGTAATAACGCTAGTTTGGAACTTCTGGTGCTGCATTGGCTTGACGGCTCGCAGTCAGAATTTCTCGGCCGCGACTCAAAGAGAGGGTTGGAGATTGGGTTGGAATCTCAGCCAAACGATTGCATCGTGCAGCTCACTTTCGCCTCTCCGAAACACCTCTGCACTACGCTGCTCAGATCGACTTCTACTCGCACCTTCTCCACTTTCCCGATTACTAGCTTCCTCTTCACTGCTGCTACTAGGGGCCTCTGGCTCCTCCCTATAAGAAGAATCAGCCCTCTCCTCAGGGTCGGTATTCTCGTTTATTGCTGTTACAGCCTGCATTCCAGCCATCTAAAGCGCATTCTCGGGCCCTCCACCAAATTATCTTGCTCATTGTCGCCCCAAGCTCTGATGCCTATACCTCGAGATGGTGATTTCTGGTGTGCCTGAGCCGTCGCCAACGTGCGCTGCTGTTGCATCATCAGTGAGCAAAAAGTCCCTGCCTGCGTCTGCCTCGGTGCTTCTTGTGATGAAGCCGCCAGTCCCCCCTGCCCCAAAGGCCGCGCCATTAGACCCTGGTGTCTCTGTGCTCCTGAATCCGGATCCTGTGGCAGCGGAGGCTTCGGCGGCTCCCGTGGATGCTCCGCCCGCTCCTGTGCGTCCCAAGCCTAACCCCCTACTCCTGTCGCTGCTTTGGATCACTTTTCTCTGGTTGTTGCGCCGCCTATCTCCGCTGTCCCTACTGCAGCATCTGCCGCCGTTGTCCCTGCTGAGCTGACACCGGCCGTTGGTTTGCCGCTGTTGGCGGTGTCCGCCACCACTGGCTGCTAAGCCCCGGTTAAGGAACCAGGGGTAGCTGTGCAGTCAGTGCCTATGGTTCTGCCAACAGCCTCGACTAGAAATCAGCGGCGTCCCCAGACTCCGGATTCCCTCACCCCCCGCCCTAATTCTCTCACACCACGCGAGGAACGGGAGTCGTCCCGTCGTCGGCATGATTCCCCCTGCACCACCAATCGCAGTTAAACTGGCCTCCGTACCACAGTAGGCGTGGTGGCAGGAGGCGAGGTTCCGGTCGCGGACGTGGCGGACCAAATGCGGCGCCGCCTCTGACTGCGGCGGACATCCGAGACATGGTGGCCGCGGCAGTGCGTAACGCCCAGGTAGGGACGGCGAGTCAGAGCTGTTCCCAGCTGTAAGGATCGAAGGAACAGGTTCATAAATTATAATATTGAGAAAGCTTGCTTCTGTAGCAATTGGCATCGTTCTCATTACAATGGGTTCAAGTACAACAGTTCCTATCAATAATATAGATGTAAGAACAAACAAGATGTGTAAGAACTGCTACTTGCGAGGATGACTAGCCAGGGGAGGGTGGGTGGGAATTGAACTTGAGCGATTGTAAAATGAGAGACGTGGGTGGGGGAAGAATGACCCCAACCCATATTATATATTCGGAGAAGGCAAATAGCGCGCTTCGACGATGCTCAAAATTGCGTTACAGTCAGCTTCGCTTTCACAATACACAAATTTGAAAGCGATAAACGCTTAGAAATTTTTCATATTGAGAAAGCTTGCTTCTGTAGCAATTGGCATCGTTCTCATTACAATGGGTGACGCTGAGACATGTGCAAGGGTGCCAGACGGTTGCGCTTGAGGGCCCTGGAGTGTTGTGCTGGTGACGGCGCATGAGCCATTGATTGGAGGTTGCGAGAGGCATCAATCAGTCCATCGGCGGTGGGTGTGACATACATTTCTTTGGCTGATTCACTGCGCCAACGGCCAAGCTGTTTGAAGAGTCGATCCTCGATTCCTGCGTTTGCTGCTACAGTTGCTGCTCCTTTGCGAAAGGAGTGGGTACCAAGAGCATGGTCACCAAGGCCGATGGCGAGGAAAGCTTCCTTGCACCAATTGCGTATGGTGGTATACGTCGGTGATTTGGCCGGGAGTGAGTCTTTCGTGGCCGAACCAAAGACTCGGACTAATGGCCCTGGTGTGGAGGGACCATATCCTTCCAGTTGGATGAAGCGCTTGGTGCATCGAACGGGGCAGAAGGGTCCCTGGCTTGCGGCAATGGGCACCCATGAGCCCTTCGCCTCTTGGTACGTCTTTGAGCGCGGGATGAGTAGCCACATGACGTCGTCTTCAAACTAAATATCGTTCCAGCAGATGGAGGCGAGATCCGAATACCGCAGGAAACCGGCGTACATGAGAAGCGGTATGAGTCCTTTTTGAAAGGTGGATGGGTCGTCCGAACCAATGAAGTGTGCGGCCATAGCGTGCACTTGGTGAAGAGACACTGGTTCTTTGGTCCTGTGGGGCCGAGGGCAGTGACGCTTCGCAAATTCTCGGACTTGAGATGTCATTGGGCCGATAGTTGGGCAAGCAGCCCCGATCATGCGGTGGGCGAAACCAACCGCCGAACAAGTGAGTTGCACCACTGAGAAGGTGGCTTGGTGGCGAATGGCGTAGACGAGGTATAGGGCGAGTGTCATATCTCGTGCAGGCAGGAATGGTAGCTTAGCCTTGATGCAGAATGAACGGAACTGCTGCCAGTATGGTTCGTAAGTCTTGATCGTAGATTCCGCACGCGTTTGCAGCATCATAGAGATCAATTGGCTCTGTAGCGAGCGAAGTAACCCTGAAGCGATCAGAGAGGGCGCGAGCAATGTGTTAGCGGAAGGATATGCGCAGGGCCATCATCATGCTATGGGGGAGGCCGGAACCCGAGAATGTGGTGGTGTGCGTGCCAGGTGCAAGGCATTGGCTTCCGTGAGTAAGTTTCACGGAATCACGGATCTGTGAGGCCCAGGCGGGCGGCGAGGGTTGAAGAAGAGGCCACCAGCTAGCCCCAGGCCAAAAAGGAACGATGAGTGTCAGTGAGGCTGCTGTCCTTTGTGCGTGGTGAAGGACTGCCGGGATCAATTGTGGCGGTGGAAAAGCGAAGCCATGTTCAGCAGCCCAGGATAGCGTGAAGGAGTTGATCGCTGTCGCCTTAGGATGTGGGTGTTCGCAGCAGAATCGGGGGAGCTTGGCATTCGCAGCACTGGCAAAGAGATCTATAGAGTGTGGCCCCCAACGCCTCTCGAGAAGGTTAAACCATGGTGCCTTCAGGGTGTAGACGTCTCTGTCGAGAGTCTTCGAGAGCTCATCCGCGAGCGTGTTAAGCTCGCGGGGGATCCATTCCATGATCAAGCGAATGCGATGAGTCATGCAGATGCGGATGATGTCTTTGCAAGTGGTAGTGAGTGAGCTGTTGCGTGATCACCCCTTTTTTAGGATGAAGAATACACCCTGGTTGTCGACACGCACGAGCACATGCCTGTTCTGGATGAAGCCGGTGAAAGTTTGAAGTGCCCAAAGCACCCCCTCTAACTCACGACGAGTACTTGAAGTGCAAAGTAATTCCGGGGGCATGTTCGAGCAGGCCTTGTGAACGCCCGTGGAGAACATGTCGAGTGTGGCCCCCCAACTGTGCGCGCTGGCGTTGACATGGATGATTGCATCGTAGCTACCTCGAACATGAAATGGAGCGCCATTGAAGTGGTCGAAATCAGTTGACCAGAACTCCAACTCTTCGCATGCACTTGGGGACAGCGACACCCTGCTGTTCCATGACGAGGCGTCGTTGATGGTTTGTAGTAGTGCATGACTGAATGCTCGCGCTGTCGCCCCAAGGGCAAGGTTCATGGAGGCGAGCATGCCTGTGATACGTGCGACTTGCCGTACTGGGACTTTGTGGTGTGCGCGTCCTGCTTCCAATAATGAAACAATGGTTGATTGCAAAACACTTCGTCGCTCGTTGCCGACAGAAAATTGTCCACACCGGGTATCGAGCTCCAATCCTAGGAATCGTAGCTGCTGAGTTGGCTCGAGATGTGACTTTTTGGCGTTGATCACGAGTCCAGCTTCTCTTAGGTCGTTGATTGTGTGGGTGCGAACGTCCCGAGCCTCAACTTCTGTGTGGCACAATAAGATGATGTCATCCACATATGGGATGACGCGGACCCCTTTTGCTCGCCATCGCCGTGCCAACTGTTTAATCAACTGAGTAAAGACGAAGGGCGCCGTCGCTAGTCCGAACGGAAGTGACCGGAAGCAGTATGAGCGCCCCTCAAACTGAAAACCCAAGAATTTCCAACAGGACTCGTGGATGTCAACGTGGTGGTATCCTGACTTGAGATCAATTGAAAACATCCAATCCCCCGGATGTGCAAGTTCCGCCACGCGAGAAAGTCCTTCGTACTTAAACTTCGGAATGCAAAGTTTCAGAATAGCTAGGCAAGAATGATTGAACTAGCAGAAGTTTGGGTACAAATATGAAACCCTAGTTGGGGTTGTACCCCATATTGGCTACCCCACTACAGCCTACAAGCATAATACAGTTTAACACACCCCCATAGGCAAAGTGGGGGAGAACAAAGGGTCACAAGACCAGTCCAGCAAAGCAAAGCAAAGCCCAGGGTGGATCACAACGTCACCACACTCCGAGCACAAGTAAAGGCCACAAGGCCAGTTCACATGCAGTGCTAGATATAGTACAAGACAAGCAACACAGTGATCAAAACCTAGCAAGCAAGCAACAAGATATATATAAAGTACAGTACAAAGAATGTCAAGCAGTGAGCAAGTGAGGAAACGTGGACACAAGGCCTAAAGAAGTACAGTGCCGCTGATGATCACTAGGCGGGAGCGCCTTGGTGAAGATATCAGCAGTGTTGGCCTTCGAGTCCACGTACACAAGCCGAAGCTGACCGCGCTGCTGAAGCTCTCGAGCAAGAAAGTAGCGAAGAGCAATGTGCTTCGTCCTGTGCTCCAGTCTGTGCTCCTGACACAAGGCAAGAGCCGCCTTGTTGTCACCGTACAGAACTGGAGGAGAACTAGGCCGCTCTCCCAAGTCAGTCAGCAGGTAGGTGAGCCAGCGTAACTCCTGTGCAGCCATGGCTGTGGCGTAGATCTCAGCCTCACAACTAGAGCCGAGAACAGAGGAAGAGCGGGTGGACCGCCACGAGACAGAACCAGAGCCAAGGCTGAAGGTGTAACCCTGTGACGACCGCTGCGTAGCCAGGTCGTCCACCCAAGAAGCGTCCGAGTGACCAGTGAGGACAACTCTGTCACGTCCTCCAAGCACCAGCCCCATGCCTGATGTACTGCACAGGTAACGCAGCACCCTCTTAGCAGCCTCCCAGTGCTCTCGCCTGTGTCTCCCAGGCGCAACGTAACGAGCAAGGATGCTAAGAGGGTACGCGAGGTCAGGTCGCGTGCAAGTCATCAGGTACATGAGGCAGCCTACAAGCTCTGGGTACGGGCCACTCGGCTCTACGGACTCGTCCGAAGGTGGAGCTGAGAGTGAGTGGCTGGTAGCCAGAGGTGTGGCCTGTGGTGAGGAGAACTGGAAGCCGAAGCGCTGAAGGACCTGCTGCACCATGTGTGACTGAGTCAGGGTGATGGTGCGGCGAGCTCTGTCCCGGGTGATCTGCAAGCCAAGGTAGCTACGCAGTTCACCCAGGTCAGTGCAGGTGTGTCTCTTCTGCAGCTCCGACTTCACACGAGCGAGTGCCTCAGTGTCAGCAGTAGCAAAGACCAAGTCGTCGACGTACACGAGAATGTAGAACGGCGGCAGCGAGGTGTCTGTGCGCAGAAACAGCGACGGGTCAGCAGTAGACGGCGCGAACCCAAGAGCCGCAAGTGTAGTCCTCAGTGTGTCGTGCCACTCACGTGGCGCCTGGCGGAGACCGTAGACTGGCCGGCGGAGACTCCACTGGGTACCAGGGGGAAACGACCCAGTAAAGCCAGGTGGGCGGCGCAGCCAGATCTCCTCGTGCAGGCTGCCCTGCAGGAACGCTGTGCTGAAGTCAAGAGAGTGAAGCTCGTAGTCACGCTGAGCAGCAACGTGCAGCAGAACCCGAAGAGTGGTCATCTTCGGGGTGGGGGAGAAGGTCTGGAAGAAGTCGACCCCCTGACGCTGACTGAAGCCTCTAGCAACGTAACGAGCCTTGAAGACAGGCGGAGAACCTGGCGGCCGCTTCACCCTGAAAATCCACATGCCATCGACGATGTTCGCCCCAGGAGGGGGAACCTCGTCGACGTAGGTGCCTGTGGACTTCCAGGATGCCATCTCTGCGTCCATGGCTGTCTGCCACTGAGAGGAGTAGGGACCCGAGATCGCCTCTGCGTAAGTGCGCGGAGTGGGGATGTCTAGTGCATCCGGGTCTCCCTCAGGGGCAAGCAACCAGGCCACGAGATGAGGTACAGCAGCCGCAAGAGAGTCAAAGTCCTCCTGCCTGTCCTCAAGGACGTCCGTGCCAAGAGCACACTCACCCCCGACGGACAGAGGACAGACAGACTCTGACTCAGCAACAAGGCTAGCAGCGTAGTCTAGACGACAGGCAGCAGCAAAGTCAACCAACTCAGCGACCAGAGCAGACGCAGCCGAGGACTCAAAGGTAGGGTCAGTGATGCGTGACTGTAGGGTGCTCAGCGCGATACCGGTCAGACTCAGGGTCCGGAACGGCAGGCAAAGAGGACGCAGGAGGAGACGGTAGAGGGACACGCCGAGGAGCAGTAGAGGGACGCAGAGTCATGTAGTGAGTGCCTGGGACAGGAGGAGGACGCTCACGACGGACACGACTACCAGTGCGAGCAGGACGAACAGGCGACACAGGACGAGACTCCAGCACCGCCTCCCCCCCCACCTCCCCCACCTCCTCCCCCCCCAGCGCCACCACCACCACCCTTGCCCCCCTTGCCCTTGCCGGTGCGGCGCCTCCCACCAGGAGCAGAAGCAGCGCCAACAGACTCAGCACCAAGGAAGTCAACAGCAGCAGCAGCAGCGTAGGAGGGAGCGAGGGGAGAGGGAGAACACCCCTCAAAGATGGGGGTGCGAGGAGCGCCACGAGCAGCACCAACAGCTACAATGCTCTTTTCGGCCGCGAGCAGCTGCTCCTCTAGGAGGGCGACTGTGAGCTCAGTGGGACAGCGAGCAAGGAAGTGGTCTCGAACTGAGCGGAGGGTGTCAGGGAGACGGGTGACTATGAAGTGGAGTGTCCAGTACAGTGGAGGGGGGTTCTTAGCGCAGAACTCGGTGGGAAGGGCGGCACGCAGGCGAGCATCACTAGTGCGAAGGTGGGTGATAAGATCGGCGACTGTAGTAAAGGTGGACAGATCGGGGAACAGGTACGGCAGCATGAGGCGGCTAAGCTCGGCTGTGGCAGGCGAGGAGTAGCGAGCAACGACAGCGTCGTACAGGGCCTTAGCGGATTTGCAGTCGCCAAAATGCTCGAGCTCAGCTAGCGGGAGGTGACTGCGAATGGCTAGGCGAGCAGCTGCGTCACGAGTCTGCCAGTGGGAACGAACACTAAGCTCGGCTGTGGCAGCAGGAGCAGCGGCAGCACCAGACGCGTAGTCATAGAGGGAGATGTGGTCCGTGCTATTGCTCATAAGATACAACTGCAGGTCGTCGAGCCAGGAAGTGAACTGCACGGGACGGCCCTCAGCATCGAAGGAAAGAACGCGAATAGAGGCCATAGCTCAGGCGTGAGGGCACAGCAGAGCAGCGGCAGCAGCAGAGGGGACGCAGCAAGCGGGCAGTGAGGCAGCGGGCGGCGCTGCGAAGCAGGTAGCGGGCGAGCGGGCGGCGCTGCGAGCGGGCAGCGAAGCGGGCGGGCCGCGAAGCGGGCAGCGAGCGGGCGGGCGGGCTGCGAAGCGGGCAGCGGGGCGAGCGGGCTGCGAAGCGGGCGGGCCGCGAAGCGGGCAGCGAGCGGGCGGGCGGGCTGCGAAGTGGGCGGGCCGCGAAGCGGGCAGCGGGGCGAGCGGGCTGCGAGGCGGGCGGGCCGCGAAGCGGGCAGCGAGCGGGCGGGCGGGCTGCGAAGCGGGCGGGCCGCGAAGCGGGCAGCGAGCGAGCGGGCTGCGAAGCGGGCGGGCCGCGAAGCGGGCAGCGAGCGGGCGGGCGGGCCGCGAAGCGGGCAGCGAGCGGGCGAGCGGGCTGCGAAGCGGGCGGGCCGCGGAGCGGGCAGCGAGCGAGCGGGCTGCGAAGCGGGCGGGCCGCGAAGCGGGCAGCGAGCGGGCGGGCGGGCTGCGTGGCGGGCGGGCCGCGAAGCGGGCAGCGGGCGGGCGACACTGCGAGGGGCGCGCGAGGGCGCTAGTGAGGGGCGCGCGAGGGCGCTAGCAAGGGGCGCGCGAGGGCGCTAACGAGGGGCGCGCGAGGGCGCTAACGAGGGTGCGCGCGAGGGCGCTAACGAGGGGCGCGCGAGGGCGCTAACGAGGGCGCACGAGGGCGCTACGAGGCTAGGGCACGGGGTAGCGTGGTAACCGCATGCGAGCGGTGGTGGGCCCTTAAAAAAAAAAACGGTCGGTAGGTCCTAGGGACCTCCTGCTCTGAATACCATTTCAGAATAGCTAGGCAAGAATGATTGAACTAGCAGAAGTTTGGGTACAAATATGAAACCCTAGTTGGGGTTGTACCCCATATTGGCTACCCCACTACAGCCTACAAGCATAATACAGTTTAACACAAAGCTCGTTATTAACTTTGCGTAGATCCAGGATGAGACGACATTTGTCTCGCTGCTCGACGACGTTGAGAGGACTGATGCAAACCAGCTCCGACGCTGGCACCTCGATTGCTGCTCCGGTTCGAAGAAGGTCCGTTATGGCTGATCGTGTAAAATCCATATGAGCATGAGTTCCTGCATGATTGGAGCACCGAAATGGTTGTGGCGGTCCTTGCTTCCACGGCATCCAGTAGCCTCGTTCGATTATTGATAAGATAAGACTGCTCGTACACCATGTACGCCACCAAGCCAACGCAGATCGCAACCGCCCTCGCATGACGGAAATTGTCAAATCCGTCACTGCGTATTCGAAAGGATCGTCTTGCTGCCCCATGGCATGCATCGGAATGCCTGCACATGGTAGTAGACAAAGATCCAACACATGACAGTTAGCATTTTTTTTTTTTTAGGTGATCGAGGAAGCAGTGACGCTCGAGTGGGATAACCCTTCTTGCCTGCACGAGAACGATGACTTTTTTTTTTTTTTTTTTTTTTTTTTTTTTTTTTTTTTTTTTTAGATGATCCGAGGAAGCCTTGATGCTCGAGTGGGATAACCCTTCTTGCCTGCACGAGAAGTGATGACATTTTTTTTTTTTTTTTTTACGTCCTTGATGACTCCCCTTGAAGCCCGTTGTCTAGCGCTCATAAGCTTTCATTGCTGGTGCTTCCCACAATCAGTGGATCCGTTTCTCCACCCTCTCACTCTCTCTCTCTCTCTCTCTCTCTCTCTCTCTCTCTCTCTCTCTCTCTCTCTCTCTCTCTCTCTCTCTCTCTCTCTCTCTCTCCTCTCTCTCTCTCTCTCTCTCTCTCTCTCTCTCTCTCTCTCTCTCTCTCTCTCTCTCTCTATCTCTCTCTCTCTCTCTCTCTCTCTTTGTCTTGTCTCTCCTTTTTTTTTTTTTAAGAGTCAGTTCATGGTAAGGTTGTTTGCCCTTTAGTTTCTCCTTTGATTGTTGAGATGTAAAGCTTCTCGAGACTTCGTTGCATCTCTCAAAGAACCTTCTTGAGGCATGGGGCAGAAACTCAAGAGAGACCAAGAGACACATGGTGAGTGCTTCTCCTCGTCATCACAACAAAATGCACATCAAAAAGTTATATTCAATGAGAACAACTTCATAGGGTTTATAGCAATCTTCTAGGCAAACGCCCTAAGACCCTCTATGGTCTCGTCCCCTTAGGGAATACATTCACAACAAAATTTCACAAGAAGAACGACTTCATGATGCTCTAAAGACTTCTAGGCAAACGCCATAGACCCAAAATGGTAATTAAGGCCAGCCAAACGGCGACTACAAAATGAAAACAGCCCAATGGGCACGACCAACGGCCTTTATTGCGGTTATGCTCCTCGTCGAGCTTAAACCACCGGCGCGGGTCCGTGAGGGCCGTGCCCACCAGCAGGGCATGCGCTGGTGGTGTGACCCGACTGGCCACAGCGGAAGCAGGTGCCGCGGAAGCTCCTAGCATCGCAGCCGGGGGCCGTGCCAATTTTGCCGCCAAACCCCGTACCTCGGCCTCCAAGGGAAGAACCACGACCGTAGGAGCCTTGGGCACGTTTCATCGCTGCCACGTCCGCTACCGCCTGCTTGAAGGGGCGCGACGTCAGCACGCTTTTCTGCTGGTAGAGCTTGAAGCGGTGCGACGTCTTGAAGTCGGATGCGTCGGCAACTTGGAGGAGTTGGAAGCGATCGGCGATGAGCGCGTACGCCTCGTCGAAGTGTTCGAGAGCGCCAGCCGTGTCGCCGTGACGTATCTTGTGCTCCGAGTGCTTCAGGTACGCGCGCAGGTCCTCCAGAAATTCGGCTTGCTCGCGTACCCCGGCGTGGTGAAATGAGGATGCCGGAATGGTGGGGTTGGTGGAGGGGAGTGGAGGAAGATGCTCGGTAGGTGCAATAAAATTAGTGTGTGCGTTGGCCTCACCCGCTTCGTCTTCAGAGTCGCTGCCGTCGTTGACATTGTTGGGCGCCGCAGTAGCAGCGTGTTCCCTTTCGGCACGAGGGACTTCGGTTGCGCGAGGGTGACGCGCCAAATCGTTTCTTGCGTTTGCGTTTTTAGCAGATGCTGAAATTGTTGTCGCTGTAGCCGTAACCGCCGGCGGCTGCTGCTGTAACAGCGCCAAAAGCGCTTGGACTTGGACAGCAGTCAGCGCCGGGGTCAAAACAGGGTCAGCCGTCGCGTCAGACGAAGACCCAGTTCGGCGCCTCTGGCGCTGACGCGACGGTCCAGCCACAGTTCTGGCGTGTGCTCGGCTTCAGGCGCGTGTGGCCCCACAGGTGTTGCAGGTGCGGCCGTCGCCACTTGCGCCACAAACGCCACAGGCGCCACTGGCGCCACAGGTGCCGAGGGGTGCTGCTGGTTGGTGGTTTTGTTGACTTTGCCACTGCGCGTCAAAAGATCGACGCCAGTGGGCGCGTTACCCTCGTCGTCCGCCCGCCGTTTGTTGCGGCGATCTCTCGTAATTTCACGGGTGTTCTTCTCGTTGTCCGAACGATTCGGGGCGTTGTCGCTCGGCGCCATCGAAGCTTGATTGTAGTTAAGAATATCCGACAGCAGGGTAGAGGGTGCTTGAAAGCGTGGAAGGGTTTTCACCCTCGCCAGGTTGAGGTCCGAAAAAATCGGGAGGGAGTCAGAGCCTCCGAAAAAATCGGGATGGATCTCGGAAATGGGAATTGAACTTGAGCGATTGTAAAATGAGAGACGTGGGTGGGGGAAGAATGACCCCAGCCCACATTATATATTCGGAGAAGGCGAATACCGCGCTTCGACGATGCACAAAATTGCGTTACAGTCAGCTTCGCTTTCACAATACACAAATTTGAAAGCGATAAACGCTTAGAAATTTTTCATATCATTACGTTGGTATAACACGAGGCTAAATGCACGCTTGACACGAAGGCGTAACCCGGGTGTTACTAGAAGGTTCCGCGGGTCACGAAGCGTCCCGAACGGGTCCTTCTGTCAAACATTGCATGTTTATATTATGTAGGCTGTAGTGGGTTACACCTTAGGGGGTACTCAAAGTTAGGGTTTCCTACTTGTACCAAACTCTGTGCTAGTTCATTTCATTCCTGCTCAGTTATTCTGACATGGTATCAGAGCGGGTCCATCGCTAGGACCGTTCTTAGGGCCCACCGCTACCTACCTACCTACCTACCGTGCGCCTCTTGCGCCTACGCGCCCTCGTGCGCCCTACCCTACGTGCGCCCTCGTGCGCCCTACCCTACGTGCGCCCTCGTGCGCCCTACCCTACGTGCGCCCTCGTGCGCCTTTCTCTCCTTGTGCGCCTTCGTGCGCCCTCGTGCGCCCTCGTGCGCCCTCGAGCTGCCCCTGCAGGTCCGTCAGGCCACCGAGCCGTCGCTGCAGGCCTGTCAGGCACCTGAGCCGCCGCTACAGGCACGTCAGGCACCCGAGTCGCCGCTGCAGGCCCGTCAGGCCCCCGAGCCGCCGCTACAGGCCCGTCAGGCCCGAGAGCCGCCCCTGCAGACCCGTCAGGCCACGCGCGCCGCCCCTGCAGGCCCTAGCCGGCCGCCGCGTCGCTCTGCCCGCAGCGTCGCCGCCTCTCCGCGGCGTCGTCGCCTGCCCGCGTCGAAGCCGCCTGCCCGCGACGTCGATCCCTGCCCGCGGCGCCGTCGCCTGCCCGCGGAGACGTCGCCTGCCCGCGGCGTCGTCGCGGCGTCGCCACCTGCCCGCGGCGCCGTCGCCTGCCCGCGCCACATGCACGCGGCGTCGCCACCTCCTCGCCGCGTCGACCTGCCCGCGGCGTCGCCACCTGCCCGCCGCGTCGACCTGCCCGCGCCGTCGCCACCTAACCCTAATCCGTCGCCCTGCCCGCGGCGTCGCCACCTGCCCGCCGCGTCGCCCTGCCCGCGCCGTCGCCACCTAACCCTAATCCGCCTCTCGCCCCTGGAGCAGCCGCCACTGCAGTAGCAGCCCCTGGAGCCGCCGCCACTGCAGCAGCAGCCCCTGCAGCCGCCCGCC